GAGGTATGCTAATTATTTGTAAGGTTAGTATTGTATCAAATAATAAGAAAAAAAAATGAAATATTAACTTTAAAAGTAAAAAAAAAAGGCAAATTCTTATAAGATATAAAAAAAGTATTAAATTTTGTTTAAGATCAAAATATATTTATTTTAGAATACAATATAAAGACTTATCATTTTGGCCAGAAGTCTCCTGTTTTTAATGAGCACAAAACTTTAAATTCTTATTTAAAATAAATAAATAAATTTTTTGTATCATTAGAAGCTAAATTGTAAGCCATTATATTATATCACCATGAGGTAATAAAGTTTAACCGAATTTAACAGTGATATATGTAATGTATTGAATTAAAGTTTTCATTGTACATACTTCGTAAATATAAAAAATCTGGTCTCACTTCTCACTCCCCTATGTCTTAATTTATATGTGATATAAACTATTGCTGAAATTAGAACATCTCTTTTGTAATAAGTTTTTTTGTGTTTAATATTTTGAATCCTAGAGTCACAATATATACATTATGTATATCATACAAATGTGTATGCATCTCATATTATCACATATAATATAATAGCTTTCAAAGTTTAACCTACATCTTCAACACATCCCATAATAAACATCTAAAGAGAATAAGAGAGAAGGCAAATCGATTGCTTACTTTAATTTTACCTCTTCAAGAAGAAAATATGTTATTAAAACAAATAACTTCTCAACTAAAAAATCTAATAAGAGTTTATAGAGAATTTGAATTCTAAAGAAATGAAACTTTTAATGAAATATAGAATAAACTATTGTAACACTATATTATTATTATTATTATTATTTATTATTCAGTTAGAAAACTATATTTGTAAAGAAAATTTTAGGTCTTACATTATATACATTCTAATTAGGTCCATCATGAAAGTTTATCCCTAACCTATACAATATTAATGAAGGATTTTAGTGTATAAAATTAGTGATTGCTACCATTACCATCCAGGGTCAATGTCGTCATGATCATCCACCACACCATTTTTCATATTTTCACTTCACACCCTCATCTAGACTATCACAACTTGTTTGTGAGCAACACTTGATTGGAAGAGTGTGTTCCACAACTATTCTTGTTTCACATATACACTTTAACGCATAGTTGTCTATTACATGACATTTTTCCCTGCCGCATGGTATATATATATATATATATATATGTATTCTTTTATAATAATAATAATATTAACAAAAAAAAATAATGAATTAATACACATTTTAATACAAAAATTTGAAACAATAAGTGTATGGTCTTATTTTTTTAATACACTATATAATTTTTTAAATTTTATATCGCAAGAACTTAAATTTACACCATGTTTTAATTTGAAAATATATTTGGAAGAGTAAATTTGAGTAGAATTAAAAGAAAAAGAAAATGAACTTTAATGAATACTCTCTTATCAGAGTTACTCACATCAACGCTTTCAAATTGCTGCAAATTCTCGTTAATCCAGAGACAGGCACTTGCCCTTCCATCTGAGTGACCCAGATCTAAATAACATTAATTTTTCATACCATATCCAATACTAATTTCTATTGTCGAAATAAATTCAAATTAAGATTTTTGTAATTTTTATTTAAACCAATTATGATGTGGTATTGTATTGTGTGGAATAAAATATACAATAAGAAAAAAATCATTTATTATGTTTTTGTCGATTGTACTAAATGATAATATTTTATGTATTAATTTTGTTTATCTCATGGATGGTGGAAAACAAGTCAATAAATCTCTAATTGAATATAGAAAAGAGATCACTTTCTAGAAAAACTAACTAACCCCTTGGAGGTATGCTAATTATTTGTAAGGTTAGTATTGTATCAAATAATAAGAAAAAAAAATGAAATATTAACTTTAAAAGTAAAAAAAAAAGGCAAATTCTTATAAGATATAAAAAAAGTATTAAATTTTGTTTAAGATCAAAATATATTTATTTTAGAATACAATATAAAGACTTATCATTTTGGCCAGAAGTCTCCTGTTTTTAATGAGCACAAAACTTTAAATTCTTATTTAAAATAAATAAATAAATTTTTTGTATCATTAGAAGCTAAATTGTAAGCCATTATATTATATCACCATGAGGTAATAAAGTTTAACCGAATTTAACAGTGATATATGTAATGTATTGAATTAAAGTTTTCATTGTACATACTTCGTAAATATAAAAAATCTGGTCTCACTTCTCACTCCCCTATGTCTTAATTTATATGTGATATAAACTATTGCTGAAATTAGAACATCTCTTTTGTAATAAGTTTTTTTGTGTTTAATATTTTGATCCTAGAGTCACAATATATACATTATGTATATCATACAAATGTGTATGCATCTCATTATTATCACATATAATATAATAGCTTTCAAAGTTTAACCTACATCTTCAACACATCCCATAATAAACATCTAAAGAGAATAAGAGAGAAGGCAAATCGATTGCTTACTTTAATTTTACCTCTTCAAGAAGAAAATATGTTATTAAAACAAATAACTTCTCAACTAAAAAATCTAATAAGAGTTTATAGAGAATTTGAATTCTAAAGAAATGAAACTTTTAATGAAATATAGAATAAACTATTGTAACACTATATTATTATTATTATTATTATTTATACAGTTAGAAAACTATATTTGTAAAGAAAATTTTAGGTCTTACATTATATACATTCTAATTAGGTCCATCATGAAAGTTTATCCCTAACCTATACAATATTAATGAAGGATTTTAGTGTATAAAATTAGTGATTGCTACCATTACCATCCAGGGTCAATGTCGTCATGATCATCCACCACACCATTTTTCATATTTTCACTTCACACCCTCATCTAGACTATCACAACTTGTTTGTGAGCAACACTTGATTGGAAGAGTGTGTTCCACAACTATTCTTGTTTCACATATACACTTTAACGCATAGTTGTCTATTACATGACATTTTTTCCATTCTCAAGTAACTTTACATTGGCTTTAAAGGCTATGTTATTCTATTTCCACCCAAATTTCATGAAGTCCTATCATATGACAAATTATTAGACAAGAGAAATCACATATCAATATCAATACCTTAAAAGAAAAATCAAATATCAATATCAATATCATGAAAAATGTAGACCTCCACCAACATAGTTCGAACTAAGTCTCCATTTTGGAATCTTCCATGGAATATAACATAGAAGTCTCTTGATAAATCTTCCATGAATAATAAAAATAATAAAATTTATACTTCACCAGTGACAAATGAAACTTCATTCCAGTTAAAGGAAAAATAACTCAAAAACACATCTTTCGAATTCATGTTCCAGTATACAGATAATTTATGTTCTCTCTTTATTGCCATAGGAAATATATTCGTAAATTCTCTCATCACATCTTATTCTTTTCATGCTATTAGGGTGGAGTTCCCGTACAAAAAAGTTAAGAGAAATAATATTGACAACTACAGGGAAAAATTTAATTTTCTTTAATCTTTACAATTTTTATTTTTTTTAAATAAATCATGTCATATTATTACTGTGAAGCTAAAAGTTTTTGAAATATATATATTTTTTAATTATGTGAGAAAAACATTATTGTTTAAATATTTATTGTACCTAATACTTTGCCAGTAAAATAAGATTTAAAAGATTATATATGAATTTTCGAGTGACTAGAGCATTCTCAATTTTAATGGAAGAAATGAAAGTACTACATCGTTGTCAAGAAATGGTACATGTAGAGAGTACAAAATTTATATTTATTATTGTTTAAAACAGTTTTATTTTCATGAATATTGAAAACGGTACTGTAAAAAGAGTACAAAATTTTAATCAGTGAGAAAATAAAAACATAGATGTATATGTAAAATATAGGGCATAACTAAAAACAGGGATAAAACTGGAAGACAAAGTGGGTGGGCAGCGGAGGGTAGAGCAAATAAAACATATAGGGATGCGAGATGGGGAATGCGTGTTGCGGTGAGCAATTAAGTGTGTGGTGTGTATAATGACAGCCGAAACAAAGTAAAACAGTGGTGTCTATGCAGTGAACATGAGGTGCATAAAGTAAAGTAAATTATAAACATGCCTACAAATAAAAATAAAATATACAGGGGATGGGGGTTAATTTATATGGGAGTGCATGGCGTAAAATGAAATAAGCAGCCCACTTCTCCTTCTTTCTTCTTTGTTAAAAAAATACAACGGTATTACTCTTAGCACCCTATAATATTTCTCCCAACACCCTATCAATCCAGATTTCATTTTTTCTCAATTCATTAAAACAAATTTGGAATTCATTAAAGGTATTATGCGGTTCATTGAATTATTTTTAAAAGAATTCAGTACCTTTGCTTCTCTTTGCCTTCTGAAAAAAAAAGCCTTATAACTTAGAAAATGATGGATTATGTATACTGAATGATTCTGCTTGTGTGTGAATGTCCTTAAATCCTTCCCAAAATCTGCTTGGTTATATTTTTTGAATGATTTCTCTATTTTTTCAATGGACTCCTTCAATTCCTTTCTATCACGTTTCCTTGAAGGTTATAGAACAACAATCTTACTCCAAAGAGAATTAGGTTCCATTATGGGGTTGGGTTTCTTGTGAAGTTTGTAGATGGAATCAGCTTCAACATTCAAATCGGTGAATTCTTCTAAGAATTTGTTATATTTAAAATCTGTCCGTGGATCCTCATCGTCGAAGATGCTCCTTATAATCTGTTATGTATTACAAATAAATTGTTATTTCCATTACATGTTAATATTCACATAGTAAAATTAAACTCTCACATTTGGTGGATGACCAACAAAATTTGAGCCGTAGAGTGTGGCGCAATTAACAAGATAACAATATCTTGGAAATGCATTATCAAACATTTTGTGATATTTCAACTGTGAATTTACGTTCACTGCGCTCCTTGTTATTATAGCTTTTCTGTCAAAATTTCAATGGCAATGTTAATCATCAAACCAATAAAAAAAAATTACCTAATTAGCAACATGGTACAACTCACAAGCATGTATACCTAATGATTCTACCATAGCAAGATAACTGGCACAAACCACGCCAAATAGGAAAATTATATAACGCTTTTGCGTGCATGGTTCTCCGTTAGAAATTCCTTTTGATTGATTTTCTTCTTCTGTGTCATGTAATTTCTCCCAGTAATTTTCAGTGACGGTTCCATCTTCAGCTACTTTATATCCTACTCCCATTCGATATCGGTATTTGTGAATATTTCTTGCCATGACAATAGTCTGCTTTACAAACGACTCACATGATAATGTATCAACCATGATTACATCTCTACCCTCGTTTAGAGCTGTCACAAGCTTAGATAATGCAACATGTGTGGAAGATTGATGCATCTGTTCAAATTTTAAGTAAAAATAACCGATAAGAATCTAACATATCTCAGTCATTTGGTAATATAACTAAATTACAAAAGAAAATTTATATGAACATGAAAGTTCTTAAAATCTAAATGGATTTATATATACCGTTTGTCACACACGGTGCATAACATCAGGTTAAAGGAAAAATAACATGAAGTAGATGGAAGTGGAGGAAGAAAGATACATGAATTTAACTTTTTTCATTAACATTTAAAAAATATAATGTTAGTTCAAAAGATTTAAAAGGAATGATGGAAAAGATTCTAGATTCAATTTTTTCAATAATAAAACTAATAACAAGCAACATTTATCATAAAGAAAAAAAATAAAAAATGAAGGTGTTCACACAAACATACCAATTCAGCAGTTTGGAGCATGTCATCATGGTGAACTCTTGAATTAAGGGCCATATATATGATTTCAGTCTCATTAAAGACATTTGTCTCAACTACCACAGGATTTTTATCTTCTTGATACCAAAATGCTCTGTCAAAGCCATTTGATACTTATAAATAATTTTACTTAAATATGCAAAACTAAGTTAGAACGCAATTTCTTTTATACTTTAATATTGAATTTAGAGTGCTGTGATTCACGAGTGTTGCAGAGTCTATTCTATGACAAGATAAACATTACTCATATTAATTTATATGCTAGATGAACTAGTGAGATCCATCCTCTATATAGTGAGATAAACATTGACGAGTGTCAAATACTTGGACTAGAGTGCGATAATTAGTATTTTATGAAATTTGTGTTTTAATCATTGATACACAATTTAATTATTTTTGCACTAAACAAATTTTGCAAAACTATAAGTATCATAGAATAATAATTTTGCAGGACTGAAATTAAGTTGAGTAATACTCTTTAAGAATATCTTCAAGGACAAGACTCTTTCTTGTTCCCATGCCACCCCTATAAGTACTAACACAGGATTCCTTTCACTGAGTATCTCCCCATCCGTGTCATGATTTGTTGTTTTCACCTGCATATTCTTGCTTACCCTTTCAAACCTTTGTTTTCTGTGAACACCACACCATAAACAAATATTTAATATATATATTTATATATATATATATATATATATAT